ATGGACAATGACCCTCAGCATAGCACCAGATTAGCTACAGAGAGGCTTCAGGACAACAGAGTCAGTGTTGTGGAGTGGCCATCACAAAGCCCTGATCTCCATCCTGGAGAACATCAGTGGAGCAAGGAGACCAACAAACCTGACCCAGTTCCACCAGTTCTGTCAGGAGGAATGGGCCAGAACTCATCAGACTGTTGTGAGAATAGTTTAAAGGCAACGTCTGGATTCAACTGTATATTGTTGAAGAAATCCACTCTTAGATCCCATGTGAAGTTTGCTGTAGTGGGTGTGAAAGTAAACTGACCCAGAACATTTGTAGAGAACATTTTAGACAGATGGACAAAAGGTAGGAAAGGGGACAGAATGTAAATACAGAAGTGAATAGTGGCTGGTTTGCATACATAACAAAGGTGCTGGAGTCAAGAGGTCTGGCAGACAACAAAAGGCAAGAGAGCTGTCAGTAACAAAGAGGACATTAGGGGGCGTCTACCTGCCCATTAGCATCACATGTAGCTTTGTAATGTGCCATGTGCTTCATCAATATCCATCCATCTACACACCATTTAATCCTCAGTAGGGTCGCGGGGGGCTGGAGTCCTGCTTCATCAATACCTTCACTGAAAAAAAAAAAAATATGATATGCAATTCACAAATGAGACTTGCAGACACAAGTCATGTGGATGGTATTTTACGGGTTACAAATTAGAGGCAGTTATACATTTGGCTGCAGACTAACTGATTTTTATATCTCCATCAAACGATGCTACGTGTTGAAAAATGACAAAACGTGGATACCTGGTGCATTCAAATGTCATGCCGAGGCTCCTGACAGAGTTTAAATATGTGACTTTGAAATAAGAACAGGCTCAAATCTTTTAATGCTGATTTGTGTCTTATGAGTTATGAATGCTTCAGAAGCAGTTTTAATACAGCTGCTGTACAGTGAATATTTGAAACATTTGGTTTTTTAAGTGGCACCAGTACGGAGCCCTGTGGCATCCCTTTGCTAAACTTCACCACTGAATTCAACCGCTGCAGCTGGGTAAACACATTCAAATGTCAGCTGTTGGATTAATAAAGGATTATGTGCTTTCAAGCTGCTTTCTTAGAAGAAGGGTGCTGCTCATAGCAGCAGACATGTTGACAGTTTGGAGACTTGTTCAGCAGCAGCTAGAAGTTGTGATCTTTTTTGCACCACATCTCAATCTGAAATGCAGGAAAAGTGAGTTTTTCATAATAAGTCTATGCTCTCTGTACCTAACCGTACTTCAGGCTGCGAGCCAGCTGTGTAACATTTTCTCGAGCTGCCGTACGTTTTCATCCTGCACCATTTATCCACATTAAAATATTCCTGTGGCAGGTGGGACTGTTTACCAGATGATTGGAGTTTGCACAAACCCGTCTGTGTGTGTTTGAGTTGGTCTGCAGCCAGCTCAGTTCTCAGTTCAAGACCATTTAGCAGTTTCAAACACTCTAATTAAAGAACATTCTGTAACAGCCTGTTCTGTGGTTTCAGTCCCTCCCTCTTCCTCGCCCTCTGCATGTTTGTGCTCTTGTAAATCCATCTATGTGAGGACAGATTCGAGTGAATAATCTTGTAAAGTAAGAGCACTTTGTTTTGCATTCTCTGATTGTAGGATTAAGGTTTGAGGTGAAGGCTGGGGTTTGGCACAAGGGAGTGTTTCACTCAGCTGCATTATGTGGATATTTGTAGATTCTTGTCACAGAAAAGCACACAATTATCTCATGAGTAGGATCAATTGTGTAAATATTAGTTTAATGGACATAAGAACAGGGATATTGTTGTGAATCCATAGATATAAACGTAGACCCAGCTCTGCTTTGCAGCAACTTGCTTAGTTTTTTAATTTGTTCTTCATTTTAAAAGTAGACTGAAGTGAAAGCCAACACTGTCACAGCTGCACAACACAAAGCGGTTTGTCATCTTCTATCTGCAACTAAATCTTACATCCTCTTTGGTGTTGCTGTTGACTTTAGCAGCATTGGAGAGGGATGCAATACAGACAACAGTCCCGTTTAGTTAGGATTTAGTTAGGAAAAAGCTAACTGCACCAATGCATTTAGTAGAAACGTGTGAGCAGGGTGAGAACATGAGGGCTCCTCCCTCTGAAGGCTGCAGGACATCGTACAGGATGCTCGGAAGTTATTAGCAACAAGCCAGTAACAGAACAACAAATCACTGCCAGAAGTTACTGAAATGAAACTTAGAGTGCATTCACTGGCATTCAGGAAATGTCAGCACCACCACCAAACTACGGCTGCACATCATCATGATCACATCAACAGCCACACAGCAGGAACAGCGATGTGAACAAACTGAACTCAAACACATCAGCTGTGTTTTGGTGCTTGATACAAAAAGAAAACTCACACAGGTCTTATTCTCAGGGACTCATCTACAGAGGAACCTGACGTAAAATGTTTTCTGTGATTTGAAGCTTCTCAGAGGAACTGACGAGTAGTTTCCACGTGTGAACAGCAAAATAAGCAGGAAACGCAGAAAAGGAAGATTTGGCTGCACAATGAATGAAGCATGAATCAGGATCACAGTCACATCATCACCAGTGAAGGAGACTTAAAATGTTTCTCTCACAGAAAACGGCTCATGTAGATAGAATCACCTGGTGTTAACTGAGCTAAATCTGATAGTGAAATACCTTATTTCACCTTTTTTGTGCTCATTTTTGACCTCACAGAGACTAGAAGCTTCTCTGTGCAGCCGACTAGCCGACTATGAGGCGTTCAGGAACATCCGTAAACGAAGGCATCTATTGATAAACAGATGTTTAGCCAGTGAGGAGTTTTATTTATATTTAGCCTCCAGGAGATGCTCTGAATGTGGCTGAAGATTATTTTAACTCTTATTTTATTTTAATGCAGATTTGAAAGAAAGTATGAATAAAGATATTTCACCTGTAAAATCAATGAATGACTGATAAAAGTTAAAACTGAGCTTGAACTGGTTATTTATGTCAGTTCTAACACCTACC